TGGGTCGGTCTGTTCTCTAGTTACGTGATCGCAAAAGCGAGTTCGTCCCGAACTGCACAGACGATTGCAGAGAACTATGAAGAAAGCGTATTTCGAAGATTTGGTGCGAGTGAAATCATCCGTTATGATCGGGAGCCAGGATTTATGTCTGACTTCTTTCGAGCTTTCAACAAGATCGCGGGACAGAAGCAACGAGCCACAATGGCGTATCAACCTCGAACGAACGGAACCGCAGAACGTATGGCTCAAACTCTAACGCGATCGATTAAGATGTATGTCGCTAATATAAATTGGAGAGATTGGGATGAATATGCAGAAAGATTAACCAATGCGATTAACACCGCACAGTATCGAGTCCAAGGAGAGACACCATTTTATCTAATCCATGGCTGGGACCCCCGATCGACGTTGGAAGCGGCATTACTAATGGGAAGTGTCAAACCTCGCGATGGAGAAGTAAGAAGATGGAGATATAACATACAGCGTCAGTATCAACAGGCAAGAGCAATCGTGAGCGATCGGTTAAAGATCGCTATCCAGGACGGATCGGATTGTCACAATGACGACATACATCTGCTAGAGATCGATCAAGGGGCACAAGTGTGGTTTTCTTTTGATCGCGTGAAGGATATTTGTCCTCGGAAGTAGCCCATGTGTGGCACGGACCCTTTCGAGTATTGGAAAAATGTGTAGATCGTGCAGTATAATTGGATATCGCAGGCACACCTTATAGGTTGTTCCCGATAGTACATGTGTCCAAGCTAAAGCCAGTGAAGATGTTCCCAGAGCGGCCTCAAAGTCAATTGAAGGTAGACTAGTCCGATCGGGTCGATTCGACGAAGCCTTACTACCAGAAGATAGCTGTGAAGGCGAGTTGGATGATGGTGAATTCGAGGTGACAAAGATTGTGGACATCCGATTGGGTCGAAAGACGCGTTACGGACGAGTACACCGTCAATTTCTGTTTCAATGGAAAGGTAAAAGCGATCCATTATGAGTGGATGAAGTAGAATTGAATTGTAACGCTATATTACAAGAATTCGATCGCGATCGGATAAGTCGAAATAGGTTTAAAGTGATGCAAACGCCTGAAGAAGAGTCTGGACCAGATCGAGGTGGATGGGGTGTGTAAGTGTGCAAGGAGGTTGCACATGGTCGTACGGTGGGAAAAATTACACCAGGAGGCGGTGTATGAAGGAGGAAGGTACGCTTGTAAGTATGTGTAGCAATAGAAGCACGATCGCGGCCCACGAGGCCTGAAGTGGAAGACATTTCCGGAGAGATCAAGATTAAAGACAGTATGAAGAAATGAAATTGAAACACGAAATGTGTTGAACTCGATAGACTACGGGGCGAAGAACTTACCGGATAGGCGAGGGATTGACACGCCTGGGTGATTCGCGATCGCAGACCGGTACTTATTACGCCATGTCTAAGCAGCGTTTGTCAACGACAAAGCGGAAGACAGGTTGGGAATCTTAGTCTTCCCAGTCCCCAACCCGGGGTACCAGAACTGCTTCTTATGTAAGCGAGGTAGGTGCAAGGAAACCGGGTCCAGCAGAATGTCCAAGTCGCAATGGCCTTCTACTATTCTTTGGAGTATGAACTTGAGTACGGTTTTCCAAGGAGGTCCAGATCGCGATCGCCGCTGTTCGCGCTGATTGCAGAATAGCGCTAGCCCAGGATCTTTAACCCGGTCGGCGGAAGAAATGGGAAAGGTATGGGTTGGTTCCCACAACGTCTGGATATAGCGCTCTTCGAAAGATGGGTTTAAGTCCAGCAACTGCTCGAACCACCCAACGGGCTGGAAAGATGTGGGCTCAATCTTCACGCGCAAAGCTTTCCAGGGCTCCTGAAGGTAAAGCGCGGCAACCCGCGCCGACGAAACCAAGTGGGGAGACCAGTCAGACATGGAAGATGCTTTCGACACAGCAGGAGAGGCTGGAAAAGGCCCTGCTTGGGCCTGGCGAGATGGCGATAGAAGAACTTTAAATACATTTCCAATGCGCTAATCCAGCTCACCCGGCGCGCAGACCAAGGTGAAACTTTAACAGAAAATTTGGTACGTGACAGTGATATCCAGGTATCCACTGATCGCGGGCCACCTTCGTCTTAAAAAGATCTTTGTACTCGGCCGAAGACAACAGATCATTGGCCGAGGCTCGGACGTCTTCCGTAACGCTGATCGGACCCTCCAAACTGCTAGAAGCCTCGCCAAACAAGTCGACCTTAGAATCATGGGTTTTGGCCTAAAGGAAGCGGCAACTGGGGAGGTAAGGGAATCCACATCCGAACTGGAGGTATCCACGACGTTCAACTCTGGTAACGTAGAAGACGGAGTCGTCGGATTACTTAACGGGACTTTACGCCGTGAAGAAGAGCGTGATCGAGAGAGTGCAGCCAAGGTGCGAGGCCCAGCATCCGATGAATATGCATCATTCGGGCTAGCTGAAGTAGGCGTCGGAACGCGCGCTCTGCCTTTTCCTTGTCGAACACCAGGTCCGGGAAGAGCGGGAGTCTTGGGCGTAAGTTTTGCTTGACATCGTGTGTAACTGTGGGGTGATCGGAAAGGGTTGTTCTTCGAGGTTTTACGGCGGAGAAGGCTCGGCGACGATACCGGACGCAGTCGGAGAATGATTCTGGGGTGTCATTTTGACGACCGACTGCGAGGTAGCCTCGATTCTGGCTCTCTTGGTCTGCGGAGGAGGATTTAGAGCGGAAGTACTAGGGCGTTTGACACGAGCACTTGTAGATGGGGCCTTCTCAACTCGACGGGACAAAGGAGGTAAACTGGGGCCGGTAACGAGCGCGGCAATGCTCGTTCATAGAACGTCGCGATCACGCAACGCCTGATCGCGCTCTAGCTCCAAACCCGAGATAGTAGCTTGAAGCAGACCCACCCTGTCGTCACGATCGGAGAGCAAGGAGCGCGATCGGTCATACTCAGCTTCCAACTCAGCCAGGTCATCCCGAAGTTGATCGCGCTCCACTGATACAGCAGCAAGAGCAGCATGCAGATGGCGAACCGTGGTCTGAGCCTTGGTACAGTCTGCCTTGTACTTGGCTCTCTTAGATTTGGTCTTCAAGAGTACGGCTTGAAATCGAGCGTCCCCCTCATCCATGGGTCGTCGCAAGGAAGCCAGCTCGAAATCATGACGTTCTTTAACCGTATGAAGTGATAGGGTCGTTTCAGAAGTTTCGACTTTAGACTTGAATTTGCTGCTCGTAGTAATTTTCCGCGCGAATTGTCTCCTAAAGCAAAGCGACTTCAGCAAGTGCATTTTTTAGATCGAGACGAAGGCGATCACAACAATTTGAGCGAAGATCACTAAAGGAGAGGCCTATTCGGTAAGAGAACGAAGTTCCCGTTCTAGTCGATCACCCGTTCGAGTTTGCTCCCGCAACGCTTGCTCCAGATCGCGATAGCTATACACAAGATCCTGCTGGGATGCGAGCCGCTGATAAAGTCCAGCGATCATACCAACCGCGGTCGTTTCATCAACTATTGGTGTTTCAACTCAAGTGGTAGGCAAAGGAATAGCCCCAATAGGGTCGCCACTTGCAGCAAAATAGTTGACGACATCAAGCGTCAACGCGGAGCTCATCGGATCAGTGCTTGCAGCAAATTCTCCGACCCCAAACGGCTCGTCTCTTGCAGCGGAACTGTCAAGGACATCAGGCGTCAACGTGGAGCAGATCGGTTCCGTACTTGAAGCGAGGTCCACAACAGCATCGAGTCCCAAAGCAGGGCCGATCGGACCTCCGCTCACCGAGGTACCTTCGACCTCGTCTGTAGTGGAATCGGGGCCAGTTGGGTGTTTGCGTGGCGAAACGTCAACACCGACCGAAGGTGTGGGACCAGATTGCGTCATCACCGAGGGAGATGGCGCACAAATAGTTGGTGAAGGACACGGACGACGGGGAAACCATGGAAGGCAACGAGATGATTGAACGGAAAGTGGTGACTAAACCGTGCACAATCGAGCCAGATATTGCAGATCGGCTATTTGTGCAGGGGGCGATTGTGGTAAAGTCGATCAAGATCGGTGTCGTAAAACCTCAAACGTATGCCTAAGTACGGAGTGGGGACCGGCGGAATAATCGTGGGACGAGGACCAATCATTTGGATGGCACCGTTGGGATCATTTACAGAAATGTCTCATCCGGTCAGATCGGGTCAGAACGATTCAGAACCGCGAAAGGGACCGCGATAAAGGGACCGCGATAAAGGGACCGCGATTGAGAGACCACGATTGAGGGACCGCGATTGAGGGACCGCGATCAGGGGACCGAGATCAGTGGCCGCGATCAGGGGACTGCGATCTAGCGTGGACCATGCCTCAATGCGATCAGACGGTTGGTGTGTCAGGTCTGTGCCACATGGATACAAGGGGCGATCCGTAAAGGCCGATCTGTAGAGGAGGCGTGGCATCTGATTTTCCGTGTTATAGGGGTAAGGTGTGAGAGTCTAATTGGTTAACATTAAACAGAATTCTATCTGCTTCTAAACACATTCGTGTCGATCTTCTCCCGGGTTGGATTTTTTGGCCTCTCGACGTCTGAGAATCTCGACATCAAGGATAGAACGATCACTCCTGGAGCTATTTAGCCAGGAGTGCTAGGACTCTCAACACACCCCTACTGAGATCGGACGCAGCCGACCGTATTGGTTGAAGTACAAGATCGCGAGACGGCTTAAGTGGCCAGAAAGACTCGCGACTCAAGTACACATTTTGGCACAAGGTGATCAGGTCAGATCACGGCGACTGTAGGAGAGAGCCAACCCAGAACACGCGATCGGGTGAGGATTTTCCACCCGATCAGCACCAATCTCTACAACGGTCAAGTTTATCATCTCGTCGAGTCCACCTAGAAGAGTGCAACCCGCCCTGTCGACGGGTACACAAGGTGAGGAGGAAACAAGTGCAAGCGAAATCGGAGTGCCCCCTCCGTTAGTCGGTCGTCTGGGGGCCAGTGGAGAGTCGGGATTGCCTCAAAAAATGAGCGAAACCCACTCCACCACAGGTGGGTCTCATCGTACTGCTCGACGAGACCAAGGACATCATAATCAGCTGGGCACGAGGCTCCCAGCTGTCCCACGCCGGTAGGTAGCCACGCCAGCGGACGAGGTAACTCGTCCGGACGCCATTCACATCGCGGTGGTTTAAAGTTCGCTCCACTAGGTAGTGTTGACCACCGCTTGAGTCCACAAAAGGATGTGGTGGCGGCGGGAACACCTGATCCGGCTCGAGCGTCGGATCAGATTGATGTTCAGGAGTTGAACCGTGTAACGGAACAGTTGCAAGATAACCTGGCTCATGAACGGACTCGACTTTACGAGCTCCATGAACTTATAAGGGATGATTACAATACCTTCACGCACGATCGTTTGAACGGTCGTGCCGCGTTTGCGCTCGCGCAACTTGAGAACGAACGTTCGACTCGTTCTCTTCGTGACGAGATGGCTGTAGCTCGTCGAGACATCGCTGAACTGCGTGAACAGGTCGCTTCGCTAGTCGACCAGACCGGCTCGTTGAAACGGAGCCACTCGAAAATGATCTCGGCCCTTGACCGCGGGGGTGTTCATCGTCTCTCGAAACGAACTCGTACTCATAGTACGGGCGGAGACTACCAGCGTAAAACGTTGGATGAGTACGCATCTTACGGGGCAGTTTAATCGTGTATGCGCTGCTCATTCGGCGCAACACACGAAATGGCCCAAAATACTTGGGCTGTAGTTTACTGGTGATCACGTTTGTTACTGCGTGTTGCTGTAGATTAGCTGTAGATAGTAAAATTTTGTCTCCTTCATCAAATGAAAGAACATTTGCTCTGCCTTTTTTGTCTCCTTTTCTTTTCTGTTCGTCTAATGCATCTGCAATAGAGTCTTGAACGAAGCGGACAACCGCTTCGCGAGTCAAAAGAAATTTTCTGCTGATTTATTCTTGTCAACAGCAGTGCGCTTCGTGTGCACTGCTGGAAGAAATTTGTTTTCACCAATGAGGGCGTCATCGTCCTTACTGTGACAGTCTTTTGGCGATGCTGAATATGCCCGCATCGACGTCAGCATCATAGATGTCGATCTCATCGGCATCCATCATGTCGACACCATTGTCGACGGGCGATGAGCAAGAACCAGATCGGTTTTTGTTCGAGCGAGCCCCCCCCCTCTTAAACTAAAGTCACACTCTAAGAAGGCGGGTGAACGTGATGACGTAGGCCATTCACGAAAAACGGTGTATGCGTTGTCGACGCATGCACCGAGTTGTTGATGGCAAATTCCGCCATCGGCAAGAACCCACTCCAACTCGTAAACGAGTGGATGTACCCTTAAAGGATCTCTTTGAGGACGCGGTTGACGCATTCTGGTTGACCATCTGTTTCTGGATGGTCAGAAGTCGACATCGTCAAACGTGTTCCAAGTGAACGGAATAAGGATTGCCAGAACTCCACTATTAAACGAGGGTCCCTATCAGACACGAGTTCACGGGGTAACCCGTATAGTCGGAAAATAGTATCGATGAAGACACGCACACAGCTCTGGGCTGTGATTGACTCCGGTACAGCAACAAGATATGCCATCTTGCTGAGCCGATCAACAAACACAAAAATAATGTTATTCTTATGAACGTCGTAGGGAAAATCGAATACGAAGTCCATCGATACGGACTGCCAACACTCTGCCGGAATCGGAAGAGGCTGTAGGAGTGCGCGGGATAAAGGACTAGGCTTCACCCGTTGACAAGCTTTGCAAGCGCGAATACATTTGCGCACAAACGCATACTGGCAGGGCCAGTAGAAGTCACTACTCACCGTGAGGTAAGTCTTTTCCCCACCGCGATGTCCACTTGTTGGGGCATCGTGACACTCATGCATGATGCGCAATCGCAAATCATTATGAGCCGGAAAGACGACACGAGGTGAGTCGCCGTTGGCTGCTGTATGATACAGCAGTCCATCACGAACAGAATACCGTTCGGTTGATGAGAGGCATTAAGACAACAAGCTTTTCAAAGCTTGACCGCACGGATTGGATACGTCATTCATCAATCGCATAAGAGAATCATCTTCTGCTTATGCTTTTCCGCACGTCGTCGAGCAGATTCGACGACAGAACACTCACTGTTAGTGTCGCGACAGTGGGATCACCCATACTGTTGGGTTGAGAAGTCGGCTGGAAATCGGGCCGACGCGAAAGAGCATCAGCGACGACATTAAGTCGTCCTGGTTTGTACTCGACGGAAAAGTTGTACTCCGCGAAGAAAGACAGCCACCTCGCCATTCGTTGCGAGAGGTGTGGACTGTTTACGGCCACGCGTAACGGCACATGGTCGGTATAAACGATATAAGGCCCATCTTCTAAGAGACATACCCGAAACTTGGCCAGTGCATATTTAATGGCAAGGAGATACTTGTCATGCACCGGGTGATTACGCTCAGCTGCTTGCAGCAGACGCGATTGATAACAGACGACGCGCTCAACGCCGTCTAAGTCGTACTGCATTAACGCGCAGCCGATTGCAAAATCTCTGGCGTCACAGACCACATGAAATGGTCTATCCTGGTCTGCAATTGCTAACAGGCAATTGCACAAAGCTTTATTGATGCCTTCGAAGGAGTGCTGACACTCAGCACTCCATGACCACCTCTCGTTTTTCGTAAATAGACGAGAGAGATGAACGGTCATCTCGGCGTAGTTGCGCAAGTATTTGTGCCAGTACGCCACCAAGCCAAGATACTTTCAAGTTCCTTGACGTCGACTGGTACAGGCCAGTCGCAAATCGCCTTGATCTTTTCCGGATCAGGTCGTAAACCGTTTTTACCCACGATGCAGCAAAGAAGCGGTATTTTTTCGCTGCGAATACACACTTCTTGAGGTTCTCGAACAGCTTACGCTCTCGCATTAGAGTAAGGACATTCCGGACGTGGATTCTGTGAACCTCCACGTCCGTTTTTCCATCCATAGCCCGGCTATGGACGAAGACATCGTCGGAGTAACTCGGTGCAAATTCGCGCACCGATCGCAGCAGGTTTGTAACGCATCTGTTAAATGTTGCGGGGGGCGTTACTTAGCCCCTGTGGCATCACTAGCCACTCCCAGAGCATACCACTGGGGGTGCTCACTGATGCGTAAGAGGTATCCCGTTCACGCATGAGGATCTGATAGAATCCATCCATCAGATCCATGGACGAAAAGATGGTACTCTTTGCATACCATCTGTGATGACGTCCTTTCTTGTGATCGGCGTTTGGGCCGGTCCCGTTGCAGTGTTCAATTCGTTGAACGCGTGCACTACCCGCAACCCTCCTGTGGCCTTTCGCACACAGAAGGTCGATGAGCTGTGTGGGGATGTTGATTCCCTTACATGACAAGCCGCTAAACGGTCGGCAAATAATTTGTCGATCGCTGTGACCTGTTCACGAGGCAGTGGCCACTGCTTCATGACACAGTACTTCGAACCGGGTTTTAGTTCGATCTCATGCCAAGTGCCTTTGTCCTTCAGCAGCTCGCATGGCATGGATTCCAGGATACATCCCTGAATTCAACCAGATTCTTGTACAAAGATTTGTCTTCAAAGACTCCCAAGATTTAGACGTGTATCGCTCATTCCGGGTCTTCTCATCAAGGACACTTTCGTCCATCGATGAGCTCCTGATAACCCGTTCGTTCTCAACAAACACTTGTGCCGACTGAATATCGAAGACGTACTCGTCCTCTGTGACAAGTGCGCAGATCTGCTTGATCTTGTCACTACCCAGATCTCGCAAGAATCTTTTAGATTCTAGCGTTGGCAATTTGACTACCTCCGAATCTGACTTCGGATGTGTAACCAGATCAAGTGCATAATCGCCTACACTTGATCCGTCATTCACCAAGACATTCACTGTCTCGTTGATTTCCTGGAATAACACATCCGCAGGTGGTTGGGGATCCACACCCTCAACATAACGCTCTCAGGAGTTATCACTATCAGTAACACTGGAACTTTCTTCCAATACATGTTCTTCCGTTACATTAACTATTACGGTCACGTCCTCTTCGATCGACTATCTTTCAGTCGAGCGGGCTTGCTCTACGATCGACTCTCTGATAGTCGATCTCGCTTCAGCGTCTTGTCTATACTGAACAACACTAATCCCTCTTCTCGGATGCACCCTTCTTGGTGTGCATCCGTGTTCCAGTCCACTCGATCTCTTCGAGTGATGAACCTTCGGCGCAGCCTGTGTCTCTACACAGGTGCCGGAAGCTGTTTTCATAGTGTATTGGTCTTCAACACTGTGATCTTGTGCAATCTTGCTAGCGATCGTGCCACAAGTGAGGCCATCGCACTGACATGTTGTGCATCCACACGCTTGTGGACGCTCCAAGTTGTTCATCAGATGACCATATGAAGAACAAAAGGCAGGCATCTTCACGGATCGATGCTGCCATCTGATCCATGGCTGGTACTTTCTAAGCCATGGCAGACCAAGGATGAAATCAAATTTGTCATCCAAATCTAGTACGATGAAGTCATCATCGTACTGCTTTCCATCAGCGTGTAGTGGATTCCCACTACACATTTGTTCACTGTTACGGATGTGGCTGTTCAAGGCACACCGTCATCCTCGTAGGAGGGAACTCTCGATCAACAGAATTGAGCCTACTATCCTCTAGCGACTGGTGCCGAATAAAACTATTCGACGCCACACAGTCAACTAGGGCGCGAAGTGACATTCCACTTGTCACTTCGACCTTCAAAGTGATGAGAGACACCTCATCACTAGGGGCAGTAACACACAGCGACTGCGTGTTGGGAGCAATCTTCGTCAAGAGTCCTGCAAATTCTCTTGACGTTGCTGGACCAGCAGGGTGCCCTACCCGTACTGGCCCTGACCGTTCTTGGTGGTCCGACTTGCTGTCGCGGCTTGGCGACATGGTCGGACCCACGCCTCGGAACCTTTCTTGGCCAACGGCGGTCATCACGTTCTATCTTTAAACGTGTCGCAGTGCTCGGGACACTACCCTCATGAGCGTAGTGTCCAATCTTCTGACAGCGGTGACATCTTGCCGTTCGCACGTGACTCAGAGAGCTAGAGTTCTCGCTCTCGGTGCAATAGAGGTCTATTGGTTCGGAGCCTCCTGTTTCCTGTCGTCTCGTCGGACGATACTTTGACGAGTTAGCCTGAGACTGTCTCAGGCTGAAGTCTTTTGTTCCACATACGCTCTCTCCTTTTCCAGCGTATGGAAGTCCTCTCGGAACATGTAGGTCTTCACCGGCCCATCTACAAGGCCGTAGATGAACACGTTGATGAGCGTGTGCTCATCAACAGGGTATTCCATGACGCTACTCGCAAGGTAGCGCAGGTGCTGTGCATAAGCGTGCACGTCACGCTTACCTTGCTTGAGTCTCAAGAGTGGAGAGCGTGCTTTGAAACCGGTTCTCGGAGGCTCAAACGTCTCTCTAAGCCGAGGCTTCAAGATCTCTAACGACTCAAACACGTTTGGATCGTGAAGATTGAGCCCTAAGGCCCAAGTCTTTGCTCGTCCTGTCAAATTTGACAGGGCGAAAGTGACTTGCATCTCGTCACCCTCGATGTGACGGGCCCTGATGGCATCGTCTAACTCGACAAACCATTTTAAAGGAGAATCTTCATCGGTTTCCTTGTACCTTGAGATACTACTCTTCAAGGTTTCGGGTCGATGCGTGCGCGTCGGACCGCCCATCGATTGATGAGAGCCTTGCTGCTGTAGCAATGCTATCTTCTGCCTTGCGACGGCAAGTTCCCCTTGTAGGAACTTGTTGATAGCGCCAGGTTGCTGGTCTCTCCTTAGAGACTCCAACATACCACTGATGCCGGGTTCGTCCATGAGCACTTCATGCGGCCGACTACTTCCCACTCTGAGTCACTCAGATGGGAGTAGCCTTCACGTGTGACGTGAAAGCTGTCGTCTTCTACGTCCAACATGTTCATGTTTGACGGAAACTTAGTAGTCGTTGGACGGACTACGAAGTGCTACCAGGTGCAACGGGGCACACTTTGTCTGGGTGCCATGAAACTTCACGTACACTAGTACGTGCAGAGGAAGCTGATCTACTTGAACGACTCGATCAAGTAAAGGTATAAAGAGAAATGTATTTAATACAGTTAATCTATTAATGTAACTTTAATCTTTATCCATCCATATTAATCTACATTGTCGTATGACGACAACCTGCTCACCACTCATTGCGCGCGTCTAGCAGCGATTGGTGGTAATCTATGGCTGGTATGTCTTATGTAAACCAATCTTGGAGCAGCGCATGAATATTGTCCTACAAGGGAATGCTATTCCTTCAATATTATCCATCTCGGATAATATTGGTAGAATATTGTCATGCTAGACAATCTTCCTTTTGAGACCGTTTGGTGTCACTTTCATGAAACGGGCCACCCGGTTATAGACAGAACAAGATCCGTCCGCTGTGGCGCCACTACAATAAGAGCACATAGAGCTTGGTCTTTGTGGTCGACGTAAACGATGGCGATCGTGTGGATGGTGAACAAGAACGACCTGCGGGTCAGTGCTACCGGTGTTTTTAAACAAGCAGGACCTATCGAACGCCGTGATCGCGGCAAGAATGACGGACAAGCTAGGTCTTGCACGGTCGATGCCAGCAGTGGTTATTTTTGGTGTATCGTGCCATGATGTGTGAACAGCTTCAAATAGATCTGGAATTGTTTGTGCCTCTCTCCGGAAGAAATGTCTGTCAATTCTCTATGGTGCTCTGAGGCGTTGCTGCCATACCTCCTGGAGATGAGATTGTAGGCACGACGTTTATGTTAATGGAGATGACAAGATTTTAACCGTGTCATCGTGCGTCCATCTCTATGAAAGGTACTTGTACGTTCAATGCTTAGTGTCACGAAGTGCGTACGTTTCCACCACTTTAAGAGGGTCGTGACCAGAGTTAGATATAGCAAAGGCGAAATATAACGACGTAGCTGTAGCACGACGCAAGATTAATCACTTAGCTGATTGACCATCGTTTGAGTTTCGGATCGTGTGACCAAAACAAATTGTCTTATACTTAAATATCTAGATTTGAATAAATATAATAAAAACGGGTTTCACAAAAAAAGAATAATTAATAAGATTAGTTAATTGAATTAGAATAAATGTTTAAATTTTGAAATTAAATATAAAAAAGACTTTACGAACAATAAATAAAAAAGTATTTTCTATATTGTCATATATTAAAAAACAATTAAAAAATCCAAAAATTACGAAACATAAAAAAAAATTTATTTCCTTTTTCACTTAGAATATTTTTTTGAGACACTAACGATCAATCTGGGCTGTTTACCTTTTGACAAAAGACCTTAGCGCTAAACGTCTGTCTATTAAAATTACGTTTTTTTTTGTTAAAAAAATTATGGGAGAAAAAGTTATACCAATTAGTTTAAGATTAAAAAACATAAAAATTGGAATTTAAATTGGTTTGTTATAAAAATGAATATTCTAATTTATTACATTTTGATTTAGAAATTAAAAATATTTTGAAAATATTTGAAATATCCATCAAGGAATTTAACCAGTAAACGATGTGATGTTGCGTCGTGTACAGGGTCAGAACTCAGAAAAGAAACGCACAACATGCTAAATGCATTCAATATCACTCATCACAGTAAGCACGGGATTCGGGTATGGTGCAGATTACCTTGGGTGCTTTCCAGACAAAGCCGTGCATACAGGCAAAAATGTTGGTGCAGTAAGTCCCTCGCAGACCCCCCTCCCCCCGTTGAAACAGCATAGCCTGTACATCTATGTTTCCAAAACCCAGTGACCGTAAACTACGCAGCCTGGGACAAAAACGTACGTTTTATCACCATCCCAAGGCAGTAAACACTCGACCACGGTACACTTTAGCCCCCGCTCTCCTTCCTTTTAGACCTACAGAAACACATCATTTCTCAATTGCTCTGCTTGTGCCACGAGTTCTGAAATCGCAGTGTTTCGCTTGTCATCTACAAATGCCTTGCGGTCAACTGATTAGCCTCCTCCTCTTGCTCTTGCTCGCGCCCGTCGCCTTCGCTCGTAGCAACGCTCTTTCGGCTCTGTCAGATGGACAGCTGGTCAAGTTGGAAACACCAGACGAGGTCCAAGCCACACAGTTGGAAATCGACGGCAAACGGCTGCTCCGAGTGACCGCCGTCGGTCCTGCAATCGGTACGTCGTTGGGACGGTGGTCGAATCCTGCATTGAAACTGGAGGATATTGTTGCTGGTGTAAGAAGCACGTTCAAGATGTCTGGACGGGGCCAAACCTTCGGCAACGTACCCCGCACAGGCGTGTTGGAAATGTTTAGGAAGTGGCGCCAATGGCTGCCACTTAACAGTTTTTTTCGATTGGGACAAGGTAAAAGACCCAGCAACACCCAGAAAGCAAGTGCTTACGAACAAAGCAAGACGTTTGCGTCGAGATTCAAGGAACGGATCATCGCCTTCACGACGACGTATACTGCCTTTGTTAAATGGCTTACCTTTTGGAAGAAGTAGCAGCGGCTGTTGAGAGGGTGATGTAGAAGAAGAGGGAAGCACGAGAAGTGTGGCTGATATGATGTTGCTACGGACGCCGACTGATGTGGCTTTGAAGCTGGGTAGCCGTAGACCTGTATGCATTTCGAAGTGTGACGAGCTCTTGAGCTTTGGCGGTTTCTGCGGTCTTTGGACGCTACTGTGTTCTTGTGGATCGTTTGTGCTAGCATGAAGGTGCCATGGATTGACGTGCGTTGCTTCGGACTCGAGCATGTTCACCTGTTTCCCCATCAAGGATAAAGATAATGGTGATGAGGCGAGCTTTGGGTCATTGAAGATAATCGTAGTCTTTGTCGCTGTTAGTGTGCATTGAATAAGCATCCATGATACTTCGAATGTCTTGTATTGTCATGCCTGCATTATGCACAGCCTTTTGTTGTAAACGAGAAATTGTCCTGGGGTGTCGAACGCCTGACACAGTATTTTAAATACAGAAGCAAGAAGGGGTGCGACTCTCTTCACTTGCGAGCCTATATACAGCGTTTCATCAACCTCTCTACGATTTTGGCCAAAGAACGCAGCAATGGTATTGTGTTCAGTGCTTCTAGGGATCGCTTATGTTATATTCTTGCTGCTTAGTGCTGATCATCATCTCCTCTGTGTTGATCAGTCTCTTGTCTGATTACATCAGAGTCCGCTATTGAGGTAGGGAAAGGACACATCTAAATCAAGTAGAGGTCATAGACAGAAGATCAAAAATTACGTAATGAGTCCACTTTGGACAACGCCTTCTTAGTACAGCTGCAACCGTACCATGGCCGCTAGCAGCGCGATAACGTTTGTTCATGAAGTGGCTTTTCTCATTGACTGCAATCAACGTAACAACTGTCGCTCATCAGCAGCATCGCCTCCCCACTTCTGCTTGTGGTAATGTACGCCGAGTGCGAACCCTAGCTGACATATCATTCCAGCCGAAAAACTTTGTAATAGTCGGATACGAAGCGATGAGCGGTATTCGAAGCCTTCGTGGGAAATGTGCAACGGTTCGATTGAAACACATTTGCCGCAAGCTTTACCACGATTTCTACGTAACTATCCTTCGCACATTGTAATCAGGTAATTTGTTCTAACAACACGAATCATTTAGAGCTTTGTCGGACTCATGACAAACAATCTGAAAGCATAGTCGAGTGTATGGTACGTCCGACATATCTTTGCAGTGACTCGCAATACCACAGATGAAGTCGGCCAATGCTGTGTGTGTGTGTGGTTTCAGTACTACTTGATACAGTGAGTGAGAAGATGAGGTATAATTAGGTACGCGTACGACCTGCTATATCCTGTCATCCGGCAACAAAGTTACCTGGTCGACCGCTACTTTATATACTAGGTAGCGCTAGTCCTCGCACAGCAGAGCGCCTACGCGCAGACTCCTGTCTCGAAATTATCAGGTTCCTCGAGGTCAGCCCGGGGCCCTGTATGATGAGTTGATGGTCGGCTTGAGAGGTCTCCAACCATTGATTGACATCAGTGTCAAAGAAGTTTGAAGCCTCCTACACCAGACCTGAATTCGAGATAGCGTGCGTTTGAATAGAAGATCCCGTGTCCATAGCGATATTTGCCAGTCGATCCGCCATTTTGTTGAAGGTGCGGTAATGATGTCCCCAGCTGGCGACATCAATATCGTTAGCGATGGCACGTGCTTCGGTGAATAAACGCACCAAGTGCGGCTTGCGTGGAGGGTGTTGTGTTCGGAGTTGAGAAAGTACAAGCGCTTTGTCCCCAATGACGTGCAGGGGTGAGTAGTCGCATGTCTTTGCTTGCCGAAGACCATGCACGAGCCCCCAATATTCAGCGACATTGTTAGTGGTATCCGCAGATGCATAAGCCATACTTGAAATGTAACGGGGTGAATCGTTACACAACAATTTATAAGAAATTGTTAATAGAATACAACTATAAGAGTTATATTCTCAGAATATTGTCATAAGGACAAATTTTCTGTAGCACTTACGAGTAGTTCCTAATTGGTTGATATAGGCCATTATATCAACCAACGAAGACGCGCCACGACAGACGCACGCAATGAGTGGTGAGCAGATAACTGATTTACACATTTGGATTTAGACATAGTTAGATGAAGGTAAATAGTGATTTATTGCAGACATTAACTACTATAAATGCAGTTCTACTTTTTACTTTAACCAAGTACTCGCTTCTTCTTACCGTCTTCCTCTGCACGTACCAGTGCACGTGAAGTTACGAGGCACCGCCTTATTCTGTCATCAGAATAAGTAGCTTGTACTGTCACCAATACAAGCTTCAGGGTGCCCCGTTACACCTGGTAGCACTTCGTAGTCCGTCCAAGGACCGCGTTCACATCCAACATGAATATGTTGGATGATGAAGATGATCAAAGCTTTCACGCTACGCGTGACGGCTACTCCCATTTGAGCAATGTCGAATGGGATGCGGTTGAACGAATGGGTTCGACCATGGGCATCCATGCTGTTAGCGTCATGCTAGAGGCTCTCAATAGAGATGCCCAACATGCTACTATCGCCAAGTTCATTCAAAATGAACTTGACGCAGAACGCGAGAAAGTAGCCTTGCTTCACAAACAAGGTTATCAACAAGCAGAGTTGTTGAGAGAACAAGGTGCTCAGCAGTTCGAACTGTAGAGACAGCAGCAGGCTGCTGCTGGTGGATCGATGCATTCGCGTCGACCCGAAACCTTGAAGATTGACATCTCCAAGTATGGGGGGTCGAAGAGGACTCCCTCTTGAGATGGTTCGTCGAATTGGATGACGCCATAAGGGCGCGTCGCATCGACGACGGGGATATGCAAGTTGCATTTGCCCAATCAAATCTGGCAGGACGTGCCAAGACTTGGGCACTGGGGCTCAAGTTGCACGACCCATATGCGTTTGGGTCGTTGGAAGTCTTCAAGTCGCGGCTCAGACAAACGTTTGAACCGCCTAGAGCTGAGTTCAGAGCTCGAACCGAACTCTTGAAGCTCAAGCAGGGTAAGCGTGATGTGCACGCTTACGCTCAACATATACGACATCTCACGAGATGTATTAGTTCCAACCCGGTTGATGAACACACGTTGGTTTCGGTGTTCATGCAGGGTCTTGCGGATGGTCCCGTCAAGACTCACCTGTTCCGGCTTGAACTAGATTCTCTAGAACAAGCCATTTCCATTGCGGAACAGGAAGACTTCAGTCTGAGACAGGCTCGCGCCAGCTCGACATCATATCGTCAACCGAGACGATGTGACAACGGAGGTCCAGAGCCGATGGAACTCTGTTATGTAGAAAGCGAGAAGGCTCGCTCTATAGGCTACAAGAAGTTGCAGAAATGCAACAGATGTCAGAAGACAGGACACTACGCTTACGAGTGTAGTGCCCCTCGTCCAGTGTCTCGCGACACTGGGCGTAGTGACCGTCCACCCATGAGAAAGGGACAGGGACGAGGGTCCGCAGTTGGTGCAAAGACGCAACAACGGGATGGACCGTCAAAAAAACGGACAGGATCAGTAGGTGCGGAGCACCCTACTGGTCTAGCAACGTCAAGAGAATTTGTAGGCCTCTTGATGAAGGTTGCTCCCAACACCCAAACCTTGTGCGTTGCTGCTCTAGGTAATGAGATCTCACTCATTACCTTGAAACTCGAAGTGACGAATAAGTTGTCCCTTCGAGCTCTGGTCGATTGTGGGGCGTCCAACAATTTTGTGCGACGCCAATCGCTAGAAGATGGTCACTTTAAATTCAGTGAATGTGACACACCTCCTACGAGGATGACTGTACGTCTTGCGACAGGCGCATCCGTAACCGTCATGAAGCGTATAGTGAAGATCCACTATACGCTAGAAGATACCCAATATGACGATGACTTTATCGTATTGGATTTGGATGACAAATTTGATGTCATCCTTGGAATACCGTGGCTCAGAAGGTACGAACCACGAGTAAACTGCAACATCGGACAGTAACGATGCATGCCGCTTGTTCATCAGATGGCCATCTGATGAACGTTTTGGAGCGTCCACAAGCGTGTGGATGTACTACGAGTGAGTGCGATGGCCTCACTTGTGGTACGGTCGTTAGTACGACTGCACAAAACCTTAGTGTACCAAACGGTTACACTTCGGAGCAAAGTTCCGGCGGCTGTGAGGAAACACAGGCTGCGCCGAAGGTCCACCACTCGAATAAGTCGGGTGGACTGGGACAAAGATGTATCCCTAGCGGGGAACATCTAGAAGAGAAACCATCGATCGCTCAGGTTAAGCGAAACGATAATCCTAGATCGACTGGAGAGTCTTTCGTAGAGGATCTCCCTGTGGTCGCGCAACCCCAGCTAGAGGAAGTAAAGGGAATAAGTCCCAAGATTGCAAACACGGTGGAAATAAGTTCCCCGAAACCCGAGGGAATAAGTCCCCGGGAAGACGAAGGAATAAGTCCTTCGAAGCCTGAGGGAATAAGTCCCCAGGAAATGACAGAGACATTGAATGTCATAGTCAATAACGGATCAAGTGTAGGCGCTTATACACTTGTTCTGATTGCGCCTCCGAAGTTAACTTCGGAGATCACTCAGTCGCCAACGCTCGAACATAAAAGGTTCTTGCGTGATCTGCGTAGTGGCAAAGTCAAGCAGATCTGCATACTCGTCGCTGACGACGAGTGTGTAACCGACATAAGGTCAGCAACAGTGTTCACTGAGAAAGAGAGAGTTCTCAGTAGTTCATCTATGGACGAGAGTGTCCTAGATGAAAAGACACGAATTGAGCGATATGACTCCCAATCATGGGATTTGCTCAAGAAAAATCCTCTCTATGAAGATTTGGTTGAATTCAAGGATGTATTCCCTGAAACCGTTCCGTGCGAATTACCGAAGGATAAAAGTATTCGACACGAGGTCGAGCTTAAACCAGGCTCGAAGTACTGTGTCATGAAGCAGTGGCCACTGCCTCGTGAACAAGTACTTGTGATCGACAAGTTCTTTGCTGATCGCTTAGCTGCGGGCCATGTGAGGGAATCAACTTCCTCACATAGCTCTCCGACCTTCTGTGTGCAAAAAGCAACAGGAGGGTGGCGGATAGTGCATGCATTTAACAAGTTGAATGCTGCAACGGATCCGGCTCAGACGCCGATACCGAGGAAGGACGTAATCATTGATGGTATGTCAAAGAGTACCATCTTTTCGTCCATGGATTTGATGGATGGCTTCTATCAAATCCTTATGCGAGAACGGGACGTACCCTATACCGCAGTGAGCACGCCTAGCAGCATGCTCTGGGA